TTGAGGCCTCTGGAAGACCAGGATACCATCTGAGAGAGCGGAATCAAGGCAGCAAAACAAGGATAAGGGGAATTGCCACTTCTTTCTGTTTTGTTTTACACTCTTGGAGACATCAGCCCAGTTCAGGGTGGAATTGGGAAACATGGCTGCTTGGTTCATTTTTGTGCTGTATAATTAGCTGTTGGGCTGTTTAGCTGTTAAGATGGGTTGTTATAATACTTATTACAAGATTTAGGTTTATAAATGATAATGGCAACCTGGCACTGAAGCAGTCAAACCAAATTGGTTAATTATTTCAGATTAGCATTAATAATCAGATTATAGGAAACTGCAAATGAAAAACTAATCTCTGAAACATTTCCCTGTATCTGTATTTTCAGAGACATGAGTTGCTATGCACTGTAATTAAAGCCATACTGGAGATTACTACGCAATCGTATTTCAGCATTGAAGAGAGTAATTTTGGGGTTAATATTCACTCTTCAGTTTTATGGAACAAATAGACTTCCATATGTCTCTGGAGCAGTATGTTTCAATCGCCATCTGTTACTCAAGAGTAGTTTTATAGAAAAATAATGCAAATTACTTCCCTTTTTAATTACACTGGTGCTTTGCAATATTGCGTTCTGTTCTGATTTGGAAAAGTGCCAGTTTGCCAGATTCAAGGGACAGATGTTTACTTAACCATGAACTTTAAAAACAAGATATATAAAAAAATAAAAGAGTTACATTTTATATTTTCTAGAACATGGAAAAACTGTAATTGTACAATTGTATACCTTGCAACATGTTAGCAAAACTTTGAGGAGCACTATCAAAGCTGCTAAGGATCAATAACCAAGCTGCTACAATACCTGTTCCATGAAAATACTTCGAAGCCCAATCTCTGTTGTTGCACTAAATTGAAAAAGGCAATATTTGTTTTATACTGCATTACAGTCAAACAGATCAATCACAATTCAACATTTCATTTTTTTTTCTGACATGGGAGAGCCACCGAGGGGAACACTGGACGTGCAGCATATAGAAAATGCTTGATACTATGGTTTCCCTTTTGTCCCTACATAAAAGCCATAGCACCCTAATAGTGTGATGCTGACTTGTGCATTTCAAAAAAGCAGAACTTTAAAACTCTTTATAACCCCTAAATGACTGCCCAAACAGTTCTGCCTGAATACCACAGCTGCTCCAATAAGCACATGTTGAGTCCCAACCAAGATACGGCAGAATTCCATTTGTCACTGAGGTGCATGTAAAGTGCATCAGTTAAAGCACTCAGCTTCAGAAAGGCACTAATATGAATAGCAAAATGCAATTAGTCCCTCTGTTCATGTGTAATAAATTTAGCAATCTTTACATACACATTGAGTAACCAGAAAATACTTGTGACTTGTCCAACTCCTACGTTTTAAAGAAAAAAACAGATTCATTCCCACTCTCATTTTCACTTTCTCAAATGACACGCATCATTACTTGTAGCTTTCAAAGATACATTTTTCCTCTCAGTTCAAAGGTGAGACTAGTTAAGTAAAATGAGAACTGTGTGAAAAACGGTCTTTAATTAAGCTCTTCTGTTCAATGCATATGAAATTGTAGGAAATCCTACATCTTAATTGTTTAAGTACAAGGTTTCAAAGAAAACCCCAACAAATAGAGTTTAGAATATGTTGGTAGAACCAGGATCCTGTTGTTTTGGCAATAATTGGAATCTACAGGTCCAAGTCCTACAAAAGATAATATCATAAGGCAGTCTTGCCTTGAATGCCACCTAATTGCAAATCATTAACAGGAGCTTTGCTCCTTAGCTTTTGGACTCTGCTAGCTAATATGATAATATTTTTGATGTATATCTTTAACAACTCTGGTCTTGGCAGATGCCTCCGTAATTTATTACTGTTTGATGACCATCATGTGACACTCCTTTAAAAAAACCTCACTTATTCTCCAGTTCCAGGAAATACGTCTTTTACCGCAGGTAGATAATTCTACACTTGTCTTACTGCATTTGATATCCATATGTCTTGCTTTTAATTCCTAGTTGTAAGAAGACCAGTGCATAGGTTTAATTTTTTTGGTCTTTACAAAGAACAGTACTCTCCTTTAGTGATCTGAATGTATGAATTTTCCACATGTACACACTGCAGAACTTTACATAGAAGAGGTTAAATCAAGTAATTATCAGTGGAAAAAAAATCCTTAAAGTATGTACAGTTCAATTCCAGAAAGGAAAAGCACTTATAAGTGCTTATAAGACTCTTATCTATAAGTTCCATTAATTTCAAGGTTTGCTATTATGGCGGTGCTAAAAGTGGACCTTCTTCAAGTTCCAGTGCTAATCTAAACCATCTCAGCATAAGCATATTTAAACCAAGTGACTACATGCCCTGGTTTACACCATTAATTTATAATCAATTAAAATTATAATACTTAATTCTGCAGTATAGGCAAAGCCACAGACAGACTGCGTTCCAGATCAAACACACCACTTGAAGTGAACCTACTTATTTGGAGTGCAGCTTAGAGCTGGTTAGTGTATGGAAATCTAAACAGTCTTAATGACAGTCCTATGGAGACACTCATGCAAATTTTAGTATTCTAGACAAACCACTATAAGCATTATTAGGATGAATTAGGTTTTTTTTAAATCGGTCATTACTGATTTCCTCAGTGAACACAGTCAATTTCAACAAGTTTTTGTAGTAACTCCCCCCGAAAAGCCTGTATTCTCGCAACATCAAACAGCAAATCCTAAGGACCCACCCAAACTCAGCTGCAGGGGTCATAAATGGAGCAGGACAGAGCAGCACTGGGTGTCAGTGGGTGCTCTCCCAGCCGCCACCTCCCTCCTGGCAGGGAGGGCTGGCTGGACCAGCCCAGCAGGAGACCATGGCCAGGAACCTCAACAGAGACACAGATTCAGCGTTTAAACAGCAAGAGACTGACACTCCCAAAGCAGGGAAAAAAAACACCCAACTGTCCCTATGTTGGTTTTAAAAGCCTCCAGATCGGTGTTCGGAAATTTTCTGTTGTCATTCCAGCAAACAGATAATGTTTCTTGTTCTTTTCTCTAAAATGACATCAAAGCCTTCGTTTGCTGGGAGGAGGCTGGAAAGGGGAAGTCCTTCTCTTAGACCCGAATGTGTCTCTGTCTCTGTAGGCCACGCCACCGTGGTAGGGACTGCATTTCTCTCCTTGTTAACTCACAACTTAAACTCAGTGTTGCATTTCTGTTTTCTGAAGAGAATACTTCAAAAAAAGCTTCAATCGTAAGACTGAAGGTAATGCATTAGAAGTGACTCATTCAGTAGGTCACTGAACTACAAGCAGTTATGAAAAGGAAATGAATCTCCAAGTAAAACCAAAATAGAGAACCAAACAGAGGAATGTGTCCAAAACACATCCTGTTTTCAGATCATCCTGTGTACCCCTCCTTCCACAGAAACCAATCTTTAATGTAAACGGTGACTCTTTAAAGTCTTCCTCAAGCACCAGAGGCTCCTTGCAGGGAAGGCACTTGAGAAAGCCAGGAGGAAGAGATGAAGGAGGGCGGCACTTTAGAAGTTCTGGGATTTTTTTGATGGTTCTTTATACATTGGGAAGGTATTTTCCTAAACAAAGGAAAACACAATTCTCCTTCAGATTCTGAATCAACAGTATTAATAGAGTCTCCGCTTTCCATTCTGCTGGCAGATAAATAGCATACATTTGAAAAAGACTGAAAGGGAGTAGGAACAGCTAAGACTCAAAAACTGACTCTGTGCTGATAACAGGATAGCATGCAGGGGAAAGTATGAGTCAGCCTTTCATATTAAATTCCCCATGATATAACAAGAAATACTTCCTAAATACCTCTGTCTGTGTGTCATCACCATCCCAGAGCACAAGGAAAAAACGCTAACATGGCATTACAGCGCTGCGAGATGATGGTTGTGACGGCGAGAAGAGGAAAACCAATATAATGGGTTGAAGCACTGAAAAGCATTGGTCTATTCTTGCAGAATAATGTAGGGTTCTGGGGTGGAAGAAAGATTTTGAAAGCTGTGTACAGCGTCAGCACGGGAGAGGACATCCCAGCTTTGAGAATATTGTTGCCCCTATTAAACTTACACCTTCACTTGTGCTCACGGCAAACTTTTAAAATAATTTTTGCAAAATGCATCAGTTCTCTCTTCAAAAAGGATGTGCGTCAACACACTGCCTGTTGTACGTCTTGGAAGGCCTTTCATGGGAAGCAATTTTCATAAGGTCTGCTTGTGCCACTTACTGGACTTGTAGTGAATTACACTTTTAAGTGTTCCAGGCTTGATTAATTGAATCCAAGTCTTTACAGATTATATTTGTGATTATTTTTATTGATTTATGGAAAAAACCCACTCAACCTCTTACTAAAAAACTAATGAAGAATGTTTTTTTCATTCCCACTATCTGCAATATTTTTATTTCTCACAGGTTCCCTAAATGGGTTTGAACACATAAATGGTGACTAACAGAAATTCTTCCGCTTTTTTTTTGTTTTTTTGACTGGGGTGGGAAACTGCAGAAGAACGCGCACATAGGTTGTATGCACAACTTCATGCAATGTGTCATTTAGGAAGAAGCAACATGAGCAACAACTTACTGAGCATCTAATATAAAAGTAGACGGGACTTCTAGATTCCATTAATTACCCTAAAATACCTGTGTCATGTATTAATCTGTTAGAAAATGAGCAGAATTTTTGAAAAGAGAACTGGGCTCGCATTAAGACTGTCTATCTCTGTGCCTAATCCCTTTTGCCGTGTCAGAGCTGCCCCCCCAGCCGCACCCTCACGCCCCTCCATAGAGCTCTCACGCTGCTTCTGCCCCAAAATGCCGTTTTCCCTACGGGAACCCAGCCGGCGCCTCACTCCGACCTCCTGCAAACACCCAGCCAAGGCGGACGCGCTCCCCGCGCTCATTCCCGACCCAATTAAGCCGATGAAGTGACGAGCCGATGCCGTTGTGGCAATCAGCCTCCCGCTCCAGGAGGAGCGCACCCCACTCCGCCCTCCCCTCCAACCCACCATAGAGCCGAGTCCGCCGAGCGCGCAGAGCGGCCCCGGCCCCGTGCCCGCCGGAAGCGGGCGTGGAGGGGGACGCGGCGGCGGCAGCGACCATGCCGGTGAGTTGTTTACCAGCGGCGCCCGGGCCTTTCCGCGGGGCAGGGACAGCGCCGAGCGCTCGTCTCCGGCTGATAGCGGGCCTCGGGGACGGGGCGGGGGCTTCGGGTGACAGCAGCCACCCCGTTACCGCGGCCTTGGCGGGGGGAACGGGGAGCGGCCCCTCCCGCCTCACCGTCTGGGAAGGCCCCGGGGGGGGTCTGACCGGCCCCGCCGCCCCCGGCCCCGCCGGGAGGGTGGCCCTGGAGCCGCGGCCGTGCTCGGTTGGAGCTGTCCGACCGCCCGTTCCCAGCGCCGCTTAACGCGCGGTGCCTTCTCCCTCTTGTCCCCCCCAGCTGGCGAAGGACCTGGTGCATCCCTCCCTGGAGGACGAGAAGAGAAAGCACAAAAAGAAGCGTCTGGTGCAGAGCCCAAACTCTTACTTCATGGATGTGAAATGCCCAGGTAAAGATTTGAAAGGTTTACGTCTTGCAGAAGGAACAAAACTAGTTTTTCATGCGGTTCATCTTCATTAATGGTCTGATTTCTTAATGTTATTTTTTTTAAATAAAAGTGGTCTATCTGTTCTGCAGAGGAAAAAACAAGGTAGTTCATCTTCATTAATGGTCTGATATCTTAATATTGTTTTTTTAAAATAAAAGTGGTTTATCTGTTCTGCAGAGGAAAAAAAAAAGTCTATATATTGCTTTGGATTCTTTTAACAATAAAAGTGTTTTCAGCCTTTCACAAAAGTTAATTTGAGCAATCAGCTTTTAATTTTCTTTTCTGGAGGTCTGGCACGAGATACTTTTTTTTATGAAATCCCAGCAAGTAGGGAAAAAACCAAACCCCCAGATTTGCCCGTATAAGAAGCAAGATGAAATGGATGCCTTAAAGCATCCACAGCACAAATGTTAAATAGAAGAAAAGATCGTTTCGTTCCTTTTGCAAGTTGATTGATTCTTGAAGACAACCAGAAACTTTCTGCAGGGATCTACACAGACATCCTTGGAGTTTATATAGAAGGTAAAACATATACAGCTGCCTTTTTCCCATGTTGCTGTTAAGAAGTAACCTAACATCTTGCTCTCGTATACAGGGGTTCTATTTAAGGTGTTGCCTATGTCTGCTTTTCACAGATTTTCATTACCTTGGCTCGGAAACATCTGTATAACCAACTTCTCTTTTATAAACTAAAACATGGGGTCTTCTAGCACAATTACAGGAGTGTGCTGTACCAGCGAACAGCTCCCATCAGCACAGCTACATCCATATTGAGACACAGAAACTGTCATGTGGTAACTTACCTCCTAGAAGCTGCCCCGGTGTAAGAAGGTTATAGCAGTAAGCACAGTCGTAGGCTTAACATACAGTAGTGATCATCCTGACTAGGAGGAGGGAATTGTTACTGTATTCATCTTTCCTTATTATCTTATTCTTTCTTAGTAGCTTAGATTTCTAAGAAGCTCTGAGACATTGTTTTCCATCTAAAAATGAGGTAAATTCATTAAAAATGTTTGAAAGGAAAGTGTGGTTACTTTTAAAAAATGTATGATTGAAGGAAGGCTAAGCCACTGATTTATTTTTTTTAAACTTTCTTCAAACCAGTGTACATGCATATACTAAGATACTGTTAATGTCAACATAGGCCCATAGGGTCATTTGTTATCTTCATTATTGTTGCTTAATGTCAAGATAGGGTCATTTGTTATCTTCATTATTGTTGGATTAATTGGTTATTGAGTTTGAGGGGCACACAGCACAAAGAGTAGAGCTACAATAACAAGAGAGTCTGAAGCACGAGGCCCTGAAAACACTAGACAGCCTCGTGCATCATTCACTGGTGTTGAAGTTGCTAGCTAGTTACTGAGCTGGATTTGGCTCCTTTCCCTGCAAAATCCACAAAGTTAAAATCTCATCAACGTGGAAGTACATATTCATGGGAGGAAAACAACATTTGCTACGGTTAAATTTTAGCTGCGAGCAGTTTTGTGCAAACAAAGATTTGTGCAGTTACTATTTGTGATTTAAATAAAGCAGAAATCTGTTACTCTGCCTTACAGGAGTTCTGTCTACCAACCAGTACTCATTAGAGAGCTTTCTGAGGCCCTTCCTCACAACATAAACTCTGTCATCTTTCTGGTCCACACATGCTGAAAATGGCATCTATGCTCACCTTTATCTCTTTGTCTATTTTCTATATCCCCATCCAGAGTAAATCCTTTACAAGTTTTTTCTCTCTGATAATTACTCTTGGCTAATTAAAGATACTTTGCAGGCAAAAGAATGAAAGCAGTGAAAATCCCTTTGTCTAAGCCACGTACGAGAGTGATTTCATTCTTTCTTAAGTCATAGTATTTGGAAATTGTAAACAAAGTGTTGCTGGTGCCTCTTGCATCTGGAATTAATGAAGTTATTCTGTGCAAGTCTTCTCGTTTAAATATGACGCTGGCTTTGTAGAATGCAACCAAGCACATGCCTTGCGTGTACCAATTATTAAACAGAAAGCAAACACAGATTTGAACAGCAGTGTTTATATTCACAGCTGCCAGACTTTGTCAACAACAATGTTCTAGTGTTACAAGTTAAATATTTCTCTAGCTAGAGGGGTTCTTCTCTTCAGCAGAGAAGGCTAGTCCAGAACTCCTCCACTTTTTTTTTTGCTTTCCTATGTATGTTAGTAAAAGCAAGTACTTCAGACCACAATAGCAATGTTTTGCTTTGTTTTACTTGCTATGCTGTGTAATGAAATACAGATCCATTTTTGGACAAGTGTATTTACAGTATCTGATTCAATTGCACATACAATTAAAAAAAAAATCATGCTGGAAATCATTAATGGAAAGTTTAATAATGCTGTTTTCCAGGATGCTACAAGATCACGACTGTATTCAGCCATGCTCAGACAGTAGTTCTGTGTGTAGGGTGTTCAACTGTCCTGTGTCAGCCTACTGGGGGCAAAGCCAGGCTCACAGAAGGTAAGGGGCAATGTTTAGCAGCCCAAGTATTTCACTTACATAAATGCATGTACGTATTTATAGCCTGCAAGTATTTTAACTTTGATTTTGAAAACTGATATTGGAATGCTTATTTTGCAACTTGCTTAGAGTTGGTTAGTAAAAACATTGTTAATGGGCTCTGAATTGCAAATTTTTTTTCAGATCCAGATATGCCAGGCAGCTAAGCAGCTACATTGTGATCAAACACACTCAAGTTTAGGTGGTTTGTCTTGTGATTTCCTTTAGGTTATCTGTAGTACACTCAAGTTTAGGTGGTTTTTCTTGTGATTTCCTTTAGGTTATCTGTAGTAAGTACTACCTGTTTAATTCTGAGCTAAGTTTAGAGCGTTAAAAAGCAGCATTAAAGGAGTAGGGTACATCTGCCAGGCTAAAGCCATTCTGTGCCACTGCTAGTCAGTGCTGCCTTGCCTGTTTTTGAACTGTACTGTATGGCAGTTCCCTGGCTCATGTTGCTTAATCAAACTTTGTTTTGTATAAATCGTAAAGGAACAAATAACCACTCATATACAGATAACTAGTGTGGCACCAGTATATCTTGAAATGCAACCCAATGTCTGTGATACAAGAAAAGCACTGGAAGTACTTGAGGGTTTAAAAAAACTAAAGAAAAAATCCAGATTTTATTCATGTTTTGTTTAAAGGTCAAACGGTAAATATATATGCAAATTGCCTATCGTAGTGCTATAACCATGTGCTACTCTATGAATGTAGTTTATATGAGGACAGAGTACCTGAAATAAGGCTGTTGAGCAGTTGAAAAGGTATCAGCACTCCTAGCAGCTGTTTCAGTTTGGGGTTTGTATCACTAAGGGATGGAACAGTAGACTGAAATTTTTAAAAGCATCTGGAAGAAAAGAAATAGTAACACCTTAGCCTTATTTTAAGCTGAATTATGTGACAGCCATGTTGTTCTGGTTGAGTTAGAGCAAACTCTAAAGTGCTAAATCTTCAGCTCTTGTAGTACATGAAATTTATTTATTGCACAAAAGTTGGGTGGGCAATTTTCTAAGGCAGTCAAACAATTTAAGGACTATTCATATCTATACTCATGTGATTTCTTTGCAGGCTGCTCATTTAGAAGAAAGCAACACTGAACACTTCAGCATGTGGGTTTGGATCTGTGTTCCTGAAAGCCTTACCAGTTTAAAAACGCCTGTTAATACAACAATGTAATTACGATTGATTTTGTAAAAATTACATGCTATTGGTGACTAATGAGCTGGAATCTCTTTTTCAATAAATGATTTGAAGTGCAAGATTTTTCTGCAAGTTTGCAAACAACTGAGCTCTATTTTTATAATTTTACTTTAAAACAGTGTATTGTTAATTGAGTGGAGTCATTAATATAAACGCCTTGGACTTGCTGCTTCCTTCCCCTCATTAATCATCAACTACAGCAATGTAACGCATATGGTGACAGAAACTGCTATAAGAATGCATTTTGTATAGTTTATTACTGCAGCTACCCTAACTGCAAGTGTTACATAGATTTAAAATGGATCATTTAGTTTCAACATTGCTTTAGCCCCTTTACTATGTTGAGTAATGTGGTGATAAATAAAAATATGAAGTTACTCACTTATGTTCAGCCGTTTTCCTGGAATGCATGTTTTTTCCCTCCCTCTAATCTGGTCTTGAAACTGCATTTGGTATTCTATACTGAGACTTCTAGATACACACACACACAAAAAAAAGTGTCTTTTGCAAAACACTGCAACCATTCGGTATAGAGAAGGCATATGGTGTGTATGTAAGCACCAGTAAGTCAGCAAACTACACTAACAGCTGTGAATGGTATCCAGTCAGTAAAACACTAGGACAGCAAAACCATGCACATTTTCAGTATTAAATGCTGACATTAAATAAATACCTTTTTGCAATGAGGAAACAGGTTTTTAGTTAGTTTTTAAAAGCCATCCCTTTCTAAATGGCTGTTAAAAAGTATTTTTTTCAGCCACGAGAAAACATTTGAAGTCTTTTATGTATCTTATTTTACTAAATAATATCTCAAGTTAAGTATTAACATCTCATTATCATCTTAGCTCTTGGGGAGCTAATTATTGTTGGGAATTTTTATTTAACCTGTATTTTTATGACTTTTAAAACTTGTACATTTCTAGTGAATAAAAAAACTCCAAAACCCGATGTTACAACTTGTTGCATTTGCAAGGTAAGTTTTATTTCAGTAAATTGAAACAGTGAACACTTATAATTATCAGATGCAAAAAGCAGGTGTTGATACAGAAATAGATGCACCAATTTAGTATACATGCATTTTAAGAAAAGTACAGCTTTATGTCAGTGCCAAACTGTGCTTTCACAATAAAGGTTAATGTAAGAGCAAGCTTATGAAAGCTGCTCTTAATTGACTAGTTTCCCACACTTAATGCTGGTCCATCAAAAAACTGCTTTCAGAATAAAGATCAAAATAGCAATATTAATTCACTTGTGACCTGAATACATATGCTAAGGCCAGATTGATTCCTAGTCTCCTGTATCTCTGCCTTCTCTTCCTCTACCCTAAAACGTAAGGACTTATGATTAAGTAAATACCAAATCAGAGAAAGTCAGTGACCCATATTGTCCAGGTGCTGCAAGATGAAATTTAGACATCATAGCATCTCCAACACCATATATGTGACAACAGAGGGTTTTTTTGAAAGCCTTACGTTACAGGAGATACAGCATAAAGAACATGGTATGTTCATAAAAAGTTGGTGGCTAAACATAGTCTATGAGGGAAATTAGGCACTGTCATTAAGATCTTGGTGTTAGAAATGCCTCAGACACTTCTTACCATTATTTTTTTTCTTTCACACTTCAAATATTTACATTTATTAGTGTTTGGTCATGTGCAGGCAAGCATAATGGTAAACCTATGCCTTCTACACCCTGAATCTTTCTCTAAATCCAAACACAACGGTCAGTGAGTAATACTTGTTTTCTGTCAAGTATGCAAAATGGTTTGCAAGAATAAATACCATTTGCAAAAAAGTGTAAGTTTTAAAATAACAGTATTACTTTTTAGATTTTCTATATTTAAAACACTGTTTTTTGGTCTATTTGGTCTATTTTACTCACATATTCTTCAACACAAAAACAACTCAGAGCTACTTACTCTTGTTCCTTGTGTAAAACGGGCAATAACCTCTGCTGCTGCACATCTACCCAGCTGGTGGCTGCTCAGGACTGGGAAAAAAAACATACGTTGCTATTGTAGAAACTGCTCACCTCTGGTACAACTGTATTGGAGCTCTCAAACACTATTAAAGACCTCAGTGGAAGAGTAGATAATTTACTGCCTGACCAAGTGCAAAGTTCGTTCAGAAGGGTTCTCTCTGTTGTCTCTACTGATTTGATACCCTTGAGAGAAAGACAATCCATCATTAGTGAATGAAAAAGTGAAGGATTGGTGAGTGGGCCATAAAACCCAAGCAAATAGTTTAGGTCTAAGCTCGTACTGTTCTAAGGCACAAGAATGATTATAATCATGAAAAGTACTAAACCAGTCCTACTCCCTTCAATTAAAAATGTAGGTATAACACCAACACCTCAAAATACTAAATTTCCTGGTCTGTCAGTCTTAGTTAATAAAATGTTACCACAGGCTGCTGGGAACAGACCCCACAGCACGATGCTTCATCATGGGGTAGGTAACAATGATGAAGTTAATACTAGAAGCACTAATTTGGGAAAGAGGCAAGTAAGGCCAACTTCTGCCACCTGTCATCTTGCTCCTTAAATTCAGAGGCAGAGCTGCCAAGCAGTGCAAGGAGGTAAGTATTCAAACCTTTCCTGAAGGGTCTTTAGGGTGACAGAGCGCTGGAACAGGCTGCCCAGGGAGGTCATGGAGTCCCATTCCTTGGAGATTTTCAAGACCCACCTGGATGCCGTCCTGAGTAACATGCTCTAGCTCCAGGCAATCCTGCTTCAGCAGGGGAGTTGGACTAGATGATCTCTATGGTCCCTTCCAACTCTAAAAATTCAGTGAAATTCAGTGAAATTTCTACTACTGGCTTCAAGTAGAGTTATTTGAGTTCCTAATTCCTATATCTAAAGGAATAACTGCATTACAGAACACAGTGCCATTTCTGGCTACCAAAGTGAGCATGTGTATCCTTCAAAAACAATGAGACAGTTTGACAGCTTACCATGTTGTGCTATTCAGGCATATCTGACTGTAGAATTAATACCCTTATTTCACAGTAAACTAGTTTCACACATTCTCTATGTCCAATAAAAATGGGAGAGAGGACATCTAAATGACAAAAAAATAGATTTTTACTTACATTACTCTAGCTTCATTCTTTTCTAATTCTTAACAATCCACAGCTCTGACAAAAGTGTACTTCTGCTATAAGTCAGCATTCTGGATGCAGCTTCAAGGTTTGGGTTTCATTGCATTTTTTTGCTTTTTAAGCAAGTAAGAAAAGCGCTATGTGAAAATATAAAAAACAGTAAAACTATTATTCTGTAAAAAGTAATACTGAACAGTTTGGCAGACTGAAACTGTGAGAATAATGAATAATGTCTGTGTGTGCTCTAATCAAGATGTGAATTTTTTTTAAAGTTTAACATTTAAGGTAGGTAATTTATTGTTGTACTTTTCAGTGCAAGAAACCGATGCTAGTTTTTTTAATCTTGGTCAAATGCTTGACTGGATGAGAAAAAAAACCTGCTAATACAATGGTAATTTACACAGGTACTACAGGAATTCACATTTGACTGTTACATTCTCCTTTTCTGTAAGTTAGGAACTTCCCTGAGAGATGAATTCCAGTTACATGTAAGTTTAGCACCACTAGCAGAAGTTAATTAAGTGAATTTTGGATGCTTTTTCTTCATGTATTCTAGCGATCTCCAAGTCCAATTACACCCTTCTCCATTTGTTTTTCATGTTTCAGCACAGTGAGTTAAGTTATGCGTATCTCTTTTCTTTAATCTATATATTGTGCCCATTTTTCTTTATCAAATTCCCTCGCAATCTTTAAGGCAGTGCTGTTGAGTGAAACTGATTGCATATTGCAGATAATGCTAACAATTACTCCTCTAGGTGGTGCCACCAGCCCAGTATCTATAGTGTCCGAGTCCAGCTCTTCAGGAAGAATCAGGAGGACACTACTTGCCCCCACTGCACCACCGGTATGCGATGCGTAGTGTCTCTGCTGTCTGCAACAGCCACATTGTTGTTTTTTCTCTACTACAGCCCAAGCCATTGCGTATTTACCATCCCTGTCCCACGATACTTCCGTTTTTGGCACTGGAGTCCACATCATCGCCACTGTGTCTGGTTTGAGGTACCCAGGAAGAAGTTTGCTGTGAGTGTTTTTAAATTGTCCGGCTTGATAACTGTATAACAAGGCATTTCCAAATTTGAGAAGGTCACCTACTGATGACAGAAAGCCACCACCAGCCCACTTGTAAGAGTTGTCCACATACGGTGCGTTTACCAGCCGTCCCTTTTTGTTGTAAACGTAACACCTAGATAGAATTCAAGAAAATTCAACTTGTCATTCTCGGACTACACACAACTATTTTAAGCTGCCTTACCTTAAAAGGGCAATCTGAGCATGTATTAGCTTGTTCTCATGAAACTTTAGAATTTTTTAAAATGTATTTTTCTTAAACATATTTCTTGCAGAAAAGTCAACAAAAAATTCAGATAGGAAAACAAAAATTAAGGTGATTTCTTAGTTTCAATAAAAGCACTAATCCGTCTATTTACTCTTAGGATATACTCAGAGTAAAGGCAATATACAAATAATACTTGTGACAGAAATCTATAGATCAGCCAGCACAGGATTTTCCTTAAATCACTGTACTAGATTTAAAGAATTTAAGAAAGAATCCTACAACTACCCCATGCTCATCAGACACTGAGCTGAAATTTCACTGAAGTCTTAGGTGATTGCTCTGAGACAGTAGTTTCCATTTATGGTTGATTTCCCTCCACTGCTCCATTACAGTTACCATATTCTACAACAACTGAATATTCGGGAACTTTTACGAAGAATGAGAAGCATGAAAGAGTCTTGCAAAACCTGTCATTAAAATACAAATTAGAAGCTACCAAACAGAATTGCAGAATGAACTACCAGGAACAGAACAACAGAAGCACAGAATGAATTATGCTTTTGAAAGAAACAGTCCAATCATGACTGGATTAATGTGATACAACATATGACAAGGAATCTATGATTCTATGAATGTTGAATAAAGATATAATCTGATGAATTTCAACCTTTGGCATTTAGACCACAAGATGTCTATGTACTACCTGGAGAGCTGTGAAAAGGAACCAACGCCAAACAATGTTGAATAAATATATAATCTGATTAATTTCAACCTTTGGTGTTTAGACCACAAGATGTTCATGTACTACTTGGAGAGCTGTGAAAAGGAACCAACGCCAAAAAAAAAAAAAATCGGGGGGGAAGCAAAGGAAGAGAAAAGAATGGTCCAAGACTACCATCAGCTCTGCCAATAACTTGATTATCTTGGTGTCCCTATGAAGAAGTTTGCTGTGAGTGTTTTTAAATTGTCCGGCTTGATAACTGTATAACAAGGCATTTCCAAATTTGAGAAGGTCACCTACTGATGACAGAAAGCCACCACCAGCCCACTTGTAAGAGTTGTCCACATACGGTGCGTTTACCAGCCGTCCCTTTTTGTTGTAAACGTAACACCTAGATAGAATTCAAGAAAATTCAACTTGTCATTCTCGGACTACACACAACTATTTTAAGCTGCCTTACCTTAAAAGGGCAATCTGAGCATGTATTAGCTTGTTCTCATGAAACTTTAGAATTTTTTAAAATGTATTTTTCTTAAACATATTTCTTGCAGAAAAGTCAACAAAAAATTCAGATAGGAAAACAAAAATTAAGGTGATTTCTTAGTTTCAATAAAAGCACTAATCCGTCTATTTACTCTTAGGATATACTCAGAGTAAAGGCAATATACAAATAATACTTGTGACAGAAATCTATAGATCAGCCAGCACAGGATTTTCCTTAAATCACTGTACTAGATTTAAAGAATTTAAGAAAGAATCCTACAACTACCCCATGCTCATCAGACACTGAGCTGAAATTTCACTGAAGTCTTAGGTGATTGCTCTGAGACAGTAGTTTCCATTTATGGTTGATTTCCCTCCACTGCTCCATTACAGTTACCATATTCTACAACAACTGAATATTCGGGAACTTTTACGAAGAATGAGAAGCATGAAAGAGTCTTGCAAAACCTGTCATTAAAATACAAATTAGAAGCTACCAAACAGAATTGCAGAATGAACTACCAGGAACAGAACAACAGAAGCACAGAATGAATTATGCTTTTGAAAGAAACAGTCCAATCATGACTGGATTAATGTGATACAACATATGACAAGGAATCTATGATTCTATGAATGTTGAATAAAGATATAATCTGATGAATTTCAACCTTTGGCATTTAGACCACAAGATGTCTATGTACTACCTGGAGAGCTGTGAAAAGGAACCAACGCCAAAAAAAAAAAAAATCGGGGGGGAAGCAAAGGAAGAGAAAAGAATGGTCCAAGACTACCATCAGCTCTGCCAATAACTTGATTATCTTGGTGTCCCTATGGTCAGCTTTTCAATCACAGCACCTGTCACAAAGATGCTGAAATGCCTGACTTACACCTCTAAGAGATCTATAACATGATTTTTTAAACGTTTTCATGTCAGTGAAATATAGTATAACCAAACCATTAAACATACCACATGTCAACTGTTTGAGGCACCAAGCTAGCTACTTGTGGAAGCAAAACCATCACATTAGCATCTCATAAAAAGACACCCAAAAGCAGTGTTTGTCCCAATTCTTTCATCCCAACCATATTTCAGTTTATAAAAGGGTTAATATACACACATATATTTAAAAGAACTTGACTGTACAAGCTTGATAATTTATGAGAACATCACTAGCATCCAGGTCTACAGCCAGAAGAGGCTCTGAAAATTTGCAAGCAAGATAAATAAACAGCACAAAGGATCTTAGAACACAGCAGTAAAATTATCCCTAAAACATTACAAACTGCTCTCTGTGTGTGCACTTTAAATATACACATATATGTAAGTACTATAAACCTTGGATTCCACATGTTCAGTGCCATTTTCATTCTTAGAGAGCATTTTAGAAGCTGAACTTTTCAAAGGTCTGATTATCATTTTCATGAGACTTTTTCCATAACCTACTTTTGTGATTCAGTTTGAACTCGTCTCCTACACCAAAATTTAGCAGGTGAGTCAATAAAGGAATTTCAAATTTCAGAACTCAGACAGGTAGGTCAATAAAATAAGACTGGAGAGGAAGACAAGAAACTCTACCCTTAAACACTACATTAGAATGGATTTTCCAGTTACATAAATTTCTTTGCGGGGGGGAGGTTGTGGTTTTTTGGTTGGTTTTTTTTTTTTTTTGGTTTGGCAGGGTTTTTTTCTTCCAAAAGTTAATAAAAAGAAATCAATTGGTAAAACATGTTCTGTGTTAAACAGAATTTTAATTCTGGTTTAAGATACTACAATTAAATTTATAAAAGCTTGTATTACTATAAGACTATTACAATTCCACAGAACTCTTAAAAAGAAGTCAGTATATTAAGCAAACCAAGGTAACTATATATTCTAACATAATCTCCAAATTACTCCTTTATTTTTCTTTATTTACACTTACCTGCTTATTTGTACCCAAAATAAATGCAAACTTCAAAGTCATCCCTGCCACTCCCCCCTATAAATACTTTTATAACATGAAATGCTTTTTTCCTATTCTGTAATTTTACATGGTAATTACAGAACCAATACCATAATGCTGACATAAAAACAGTTACGTGACTAACTTTGAAATAACATAAGCCATTTCATTTAAAAGTCTGGAAAAAAAATAATTAATGCATTCTTAATTCAGTTGGCTTAATAAAGACAAAAAGAGCAACAATTGTTGTAGGAAAAAAAAAGTTTCATCCTCGTTTACCTTGCTCTGTTATATATCATTGCTTCGTTGTCATCTAGTACAGTCGATAGCATATCCAAATCACGAAACATTTTTAGCATATAATCTGTAAATTTTTGTCCTGAAGCTCTTTCCACAACAGCACTTAAGAGAGTAAAGCCATACGTTGAATACAAGAACTGACTACCTTGAGGAAACACAATGTGAAAGGGGGAGGAAAAAAAAAAAGTTAGCTGCATGACGCTTAAATAGAATCTGAAGAATAAAATTTAAGTAATCGCATGTGCGAATAAAACCATATATAGCAACAAATAATCAATTAAAAGACTCTCCCTCCATCCCCATTTTAATGTGAATCACAAGCTTATGATACTGGGCTCTAGGAATTTCTGTACCACAGCAGACACAGATGCTTGCTAAGGGCAGGTAGCTCTAAACACAGTGTAAGTTTTCAGGGATCTGCGCATACAGCCAGGTGTCATGCCAAGATGTGGAGACTGACACTCAACATCCTTTCCACAAGATTTGCCACACCAGTTCTAACAAGGATCTCTGGATTTGGAAAGCTGAAGCAAACCATAAAATCACTTCTTAAAAGACGCTCGTCTACTGTGACTTGTTTGTGCACCTGTTCCCCAGAGATGGAAAGACAAGGGTAGGACTCGCTCAAGGCTTTCAAAGGTCTCGACCACCTCTGCCATAGTGTTTCTAGTTCTAGTTTTCTAGCTCTAGAATATCCTGAAAGGCCATATGAACACTAACATGCATCTTATTTAAGACAATATAACTTATTTACAAAACAATGTTTCATTTAAAAAAATCTCACTCTTGTGCTAATGCCCTTCATGAAACATCTAGGTATCAAGCAACTGCCAGACTGGCTACAGGCAAGACAGATCTCTTACTTGAAATGGTTCCAAGAACTCTCCAAGACAGCAAGTGGTTAACTTCCCCCCGCTCCTATCCCTCTACCCAAAAATGCACATTATTTACTGTTTATCAGCAATGCGTATCATTTGCCTGTTAACCTAATTAACTTAGAATTTACACCCAAAGTTCCTCAAAGTCGTCCCTAGAATTAACTTAAATAATTCCCATAATAAATAACCCTAACAATTCTGTGATTCTACTAGAATTAACTTAAATAATTCCCACAATAAATAACCCTAACAATTCTGTGATTCTATGGCCTTTCTGTAAAGTCTTTTAGCTCTGGTTTAGTGCCTGACTAAAATTATTTGCTTTTGGTTCATATCTAGAAGCCCGGAGCACCAATACAAGAAGTTGGTATGGCCTTTCTGTAAAGTCTTTTAGCTCTGGTTTAGTGCCTGACTAAAATTATTTGCTTTTGGTTTGTATCTAGAAGGCCCAGAGCACCAATACAAGAAGTTGGTATCCACTTACAAAATACTTTGTAGATACAAATTTGTTACCAAAATTATAATCTGCTTTAGCGTTTATAAATTCAGTAACTTCATATCTAGAAGCCCGGAGCACCAATACAAGAAGTTGGTATCCACTTACAAAATACTTTGTAGATATAAATTTGTTACCAAAATTATAATCTGCTTTAGCGTTTATAAATTCAGTAACTTATACGTTCCATAGCGCTTACTCCATTACTTAGAGCTCCTGGGAGAAGTGTCTTATTTCTACCGGAGGTCCCTCTTTCTCTTCTCTCCTGCATTATCTGGGACTCTTTGTATTACTCGTAAACCTTGTTTACAAACAAAATCTGTACACCAGATTTTGACCCTGCTGGATTACGGTGCAGATGCATCATTGGAAGGTAACCATATAAGCATAATTCTTTAAGTCAGTAGATTGGTAAAGATATCTAGACAAGACTGTTATCTAAAATTGAACTGATAAAATCCTGACCAGTTCAGTCCTCAAAAGTTATGTCAATTTTAAGACAATTACTTGACTAGATAGTTTGTGCAGAACAGCCCAAATACTGCTCTGTTGAGCTTTTAATGGGGCACAAGAAGATAACAACAAAAAAATGGGGTGAGGGCAGGGAGAGAAAAGCAGAACAAAACAGAAATCCCACCCAAATATTGACTCTACTATCCTCCAATTTGAAACAAAAATTTCCCCAGAAGAGCACATCGTGGTTTAAATGAATAGAAACTCACCTGGTTTAAAGAATAAGGGATCATTTTTAAATATCTTCAGTGACTCAATCACACTTCCAAATTTTTCCTTCAAATAATATTCCTCTTGCTCAAATTCCTTGTCTCTCCTGCCAGGTTTTGAGTTTCGGCTTTTTACCTCACCTTCGTGTTCTTTCCTCTGTTTGACAGAATCAGTCTTTTCAATCCCTTTGCCGCCTTCTTCTTTTTGTTCTTTATCCTGACAGGGCTTTGTTTGTTTAAATGCTCTGTTTGCCTTTTCCTTTTCTTCTTTTACTTTTGTAATATCTTTTTCATAGTGACGAATCCCACTCAGGTGTGAAACTAACAGTCTCGTAGTAATAGCGACCTAGGTAGAAAGGGCAATATTTAAATGTGAGCTCTCTTCAGAGAGACATGATGCATACTAAATCACCAGAAAATAAAAACACAACAGACAAAGATATATAAGATCTTTTAACTGTCATGTATTAAACCCAGTTAATATATATACATATTTAGGTGCGCGCTACACACTTGATATAAAACTGAAGATCCAAATTTCCAGTGTTGCTTTTTTGAGCTGCAAACATCACCATTTATCTAAATGACTTTTGGTGCTTTACAGGAATAGGTCCACACATATGGCCGTGCGATGACTGGAACAAAAATCCAAAAAAGTGTTATCAGTAAACAATTACAATTCCATACCTTTTCACCCTCGTAGACTTTTTCTGGAAATTCAGGGACGTATTTCTGCACCGGAGCATCTAAATCCAGTTTCCCCTCTTCCCACAACTTAGCCACAGCCATCATGGTAAGACACTTGCTAATACTAGCAATTCGCATGATCGTCTCCGGCTTACATACCACACGATTCTCTACATCAGCATAACCCAAACCTTTAAGAAAATAAAAACATTGTGATAAATATTTTGCAGAGAGACATGATGAATTAATTATTTGCAATGAATTAGATTTACTGGCTCCATAAAATGTTTTTCCTCTAGCTAACTGGGACATGAAGCACTGAACTATCCCCGCTCCTGCTTCAATTAAGTTAATAACATTTTAAAGCAGTAAGAACCATTAATCAAAGCCCATTTTATTGGCCAATGGCATCTCAAGTTACTGATTGTCCTGGTTTGAGACTCCAAAACAAACCTAATGATAAATGAGATTGAACATTAACCCAAAATTTATACTCTTGAGGTCAAATGTTCTATGTAGAAAACCAAAGACCAAAATCTAGACTGACCAACTGTCATAAATACCCCTTTTATTGTTCTGAATTAATGGTTGAAACAGTAAAGGGTCTTATTTTATCAACACAGAAATTGAGAAAGGGAATAACACACAAACTCAGCAATTACCTAAGCTGTAAAGCTTCACAAAACAATGGTGTTATACACTATGTTTCAACATCACTCAGCATAACTTCAATTAAAAGCTTAATAGAATCATAGAATGGTCAGAGTTGGAAGGGACCTTAAAGATCATCAAGTTCCAAATCTCCTGCCCTGGGCAGGGACACCTCCCACCAGACCAGGTTGCTCAAAGCTCCATCCAGCCTGGCCTTGAACCCCTCCAGGGATGGGGCACCCACAGCTTCTCTGGGCAACCTGTTCCAGTGCCTCACCACCCTCACTGTAAAGAATTTCTTCCTGAGATCTAATCTAAATCTCCCCTCTTTCAGTTTAAAACCATTCCCCCTCGTCCTATCATTTCACTCCCTGATAAAGAGTCCCTCCCCAATAGTCCCCACGAATGGTGAGTGGATGCTCGGGCAGCGGCTTCTCCATTAACATAACGGACTCACTAGTCTGGTAGCCAGAACTGGAATTAATAAGGCATTATCAGGCTCCCACATTAATCTTCAGTTTGAGCTAGATTTGAAGAAATTATGCAAGTGGTGTTGCAGCATAAAAAGCAATTAAATGCAGTAAGGACATATTTGCAGTTTTCAGTACAAGCAAGGCCTGCAAGCAATGCACGTCTGTCTACGTAAAACTATATAAACTATATAAAACTGCAGCCTAATAATTAACTACTCAGGAATAAAAAAACCTTGCCAAAATACACAAAATAAACCAGATGACATGTTAGTTGACCAAGACCCTTCCTTTTACATGAAGTTACTACTCAAATGCTTGCATGGTGCTTGTGAATGCAGGTGCTGTACCCCTCAGTGAAAATCCCTTCGAAATCTCAAATCACTCCCCACCAGTTTAGCAAGAAAGCAGGTTCAGTACCTTGATCACAGAATATATGCAACTTAAGCCTGTTCTCCCCATGAAGAAGGGAGGAGGGCAACAAAACGAGCCAAAAGGCTGCTAGAGGGATGTTCCCCACCTCCCAGCCACCTTACTAAAGGCAGTGTTGCTCTCTGTGTCAATTTGCAGCAGGGTACAGAACACTCATGCTCCCACGTGAAGTTGTCTTGCTACTGGTGACAAACCACAACCTGGCACTAGTTCCTTCAGGCACTTACTTCCCTGCATGCAAGGAAGGGATTCTGCAGAAGTCTTATAAAAAATACTGCTTTCGTTGCTAGGTAATTTGAGAACCAGAAAAAGCTATCTAGTTTGAGAAAGTTTGTGATTAAATTTCTACAACAATTTTCCTATTAGGCCACTTGACAACAGGTACCAGAAGCTCTCCAACCCACTGCTGTCATGATGAACGAGAAATGAAAACCTATAAACAGCTTTACACATCTATAAAAGTTAATGCAACAACAGACTAACAGAATAAAGTTAATAACAAGCTTACTTACAAAGATTATTTTTTCAACTACTGTATCACAGTAATGAAATATGTTGCTATTTACTACTACCATTTAAGATGTCCAAAAAAATCAAACCCCAAAAATATTTCTGAAAACAGACACAGAGTTTGGTGTGCTGTTTTAAATAAACTTCAAATGTCTACATGATATGAGCAGTACTAACAGACTCTATTTAAAACTAAACTGTGTAACCAGAAAAACCACTTGCAATTTCTGGAAGGAAGACACCTGTTCAATCTTGGTACCTTCCCAGCAAAAATCTACACCTCAGCCTCCAAACAGGAGACAGACCACCAAACACGAGCCGTTACTACTTTGACTATTAAGTAAGCTCCTGTGGGGAGAAGAGTTCTTCACCTCCTACATACAATTCTACCAGAGCACTCTACAGCTGCGTGCCTGGAGTGTTAGTATATTCAAAGACCAATCTGGAAAATTAATGGAAAAAAGGTTCTTAAACATAACTGTTGAGATATAGTAGCACATTCAGGAAGCGAATAACTTATCAGATCCTGTCAATTATTGGCACTTACCAAGGAAAGTACCACTTCATACTCCCTAGACACCTGTTTCTGGCTGCTACCTGGAGATGGACATCAAATGGATGAAATCCCAGCCTGACCAGTGAGTCTGAATCGTTCATTTTTAAAAAGTTCATCACTTCCCAGCAGCATGCACAGCTACTGCTCCCATATACCAACCTTCTGACCAGACTTCCTTTCCATCTACAGAAACTCCAACAAGTATACCCGGGATTCCCGCTTCATCCTGTCAAAAAAATGAACAGAGGACATTAAAAAGGATCTTCACAGTTAAAAAACACCTTTCCCCAAACCCTAAAAATGCAAAAGCCATCCTATAAATACACCTGCATATTGATGTCACGTTACAGTTGAAACTTTGTCAAGTACTAGTTGGGCTGAACCGGTATAAACTGCTTTCGAAAAGCAGACATTTAAGTCCAGCAACTGGGAAAAATATAACAACAATAAAAATGTAAATAAAATTATTTATTTAATGATTTAATAAGTTAGGAATCAGGACATGCAAGAAAGCCTGAACAGAAACAGAACACTACAAAATTAGTAGGCAACACGCAAACTATTAGCAAGCAGAACTTCAAAGGAGTTCCAGTCAGGTTTTCAAAGTAACTACAAGGCGGTTTTGAACTCCCTCTCCCTCCTCCAGCCCTCCCCCCGCCCCGGGACACCCCCCGCTGCCCCACAC